CATCTCCCAGCAGGGACAAGCTGGGACCTGCCACCCCAGGCTGCCTGGTGGGCTTGGGAGGGTGGCCTGGGGGGTGTTGCAGGGGGGGCTGTGGTGGGCAGGGGGGGTGCTCATCCAGGCTGTCTGCACCCCCAGCTGGAGGACTGCACGCTGCAGGTGTCACCCTCAGGGCACTACCTGGACCTCGACTTGTCTCTGCTGGAGCAGAAGGATGAGCTGGAGGGTTTCTACGAGGAGGTCAGGTGAGACACGTGGGGGACAGGACACTGTGTGTGTGTGTGTGTGTGTGTGAGCAGCACGGGCTAAAGGGGGCTGTGGGCCTGGGGTGTGCCTCTGTGGGGGCCTCACACATCCTTTTTTCCCCCCCCCCACCCTAGGAAGGGGAGGCGACCGACCCTCATCCTGCGCACGCAGCTCTCGGTCCGGGTTCACGCCATCCTCGGTGAGTCGGGGGGGGCTGGGGGCAAGGCTGGGCTGGCTCTGGCAGCTTGAACCCCCCCAAACCCTCCCCCCCAACACCAGGGGTTTGGTCTCCACGTTGAGTTTTGATCAGAGCTTTGGTGATGGAGGAAGGGAGCAATACACCCCAGGGCTGCTCCCACCCCATGACCCCCCCCCCACCAGGGGAGCAGGGGACACGGTCCCCACTCATCTTGGGGACCCACTGGGTTAATCCACCACCCCCCACATCCTCCCAGCTTGGATCTTTTGGCTCCTCAGCTGGGAGATATTCTCCAGATATTCTGGGTCCTTCAGGCAAGATCTAAATATAAGTCTGGAGGATCCAAACAAACAGATCTGGAGCAGCAGAGGGCTCTGCCACGGCTTCAGCCAACCCTGCAACATATCCCAGAGCCTCAAATCCTGCTTTTTTTCTTCCCCTTGGGAACAGCTCCAAGCCTAACCCAAAGAACTGGGGATGCTTGGATAACTGGATGCTTGGATAACTAGTTTTTTTTTTGATGTAAGAAGCTCTGGCAGCTGCTGCCTTTGGTCTCCTCTCACAGGAATGGGGCTTTGCAGCTCCCAGTTGTCCCAGTTGCTCCTGGGGAGGTTCCATCCCCATCCACACGTGGTCTCCATCCAAGCCTGCCCATCCCTGAGCAGCCAGGGTCGCTCTGCCATCCTTCCCACCCCCACCCTGCAGCTCTTCCCAAGCTGGGGGGCTGCTGGGGGGCTCTGGGACCCTGCCAGGGCTGTGCCTGGAAAGGGACAGCTAAAAGCAGCTCAGCCTCCTGCCCGTGTTCCTGTTTCAGTTCTGCACAGGAAACCAGAGGGGATATTTGTGTAATGGCTGGACAGAAAAAAAATAATACAACAACCAAACAACCAACAAAAAGAGGCAAAGAAACAACAGAAAAAAGGAAATGGGAAGGTGGCAGGGTGGAAATAAACAGCTGTGGAGCTGCAGCTGCTTCCACCCTCCGTGTGCTGCAGGCTGGAGCTGGGCTGTGGGGCTTGCCCAGGCAGCTGGGAACATTTTGGAGCCCTGGTCCCACCACCAGCTCGGCCACCACATCTCTCCTTCCCTTCCAGAGAAGCTCTACAACTCCCAGGGGCCGGAGCTGCGGAGATCCCTCTTCTCCCTCAAGCAGCTCTTCCAGGTAGGGGGCTGGCAGGGAGGTTGGGGGG